CAGAGAGGGGAGGTAGTGTGATGTCCCACTCTTTAGCTGAGGACTTACTGACATTTGATTGCTTCTAGGAAAGGGAAGGTCAGGTTTCTTTAATGGTGTCACAGCTGGTATCTTAAGCACATTCCAGGGCAGGCCCCATGCCCAGGAACAATCAGCCCACACAAACTGAACTTGATGATGATTGGGGTGGGGGTGGGGCAGTGAAACTGGGTAGATAGTGAGGTGGAAGAGGATCTGGGACCAGTAGGGGATGGGGAATGAATAAGATCAAAACACATTGTAAGATGTTGTCAAAGAATAAAAATATTTTTAAAAGACCGGTCAAGTCCTTAATATTCCATCTGTAATAGAAGAGAAAGATTTTTTTTTTAACCACTTAATGAAACAAAAATGAAGTGGGTAACAACACAGCAAACCTACTAAGCATTGTAGGTGATTAATTTTAATTACTGGGGTCCAGAAACAATTTGCATGAAATAACATAAAAAGTAAAATATAATGCCTGAACAATATCTTAAAAAATGGTTAGAGCTTTGCAGCCCGACGTGGTCTGGGCTATTTGAAAAGAAAGGGTGAGAGGGCCAGGTGAAAACAGAGCCTCCCCACCTGCAGCTTCTCTCAGACCGTTGGCACTTCAGGAGAAAGAATAAAATGCTTTCCCTGCCCTACCTCCCGCAGCCAAGTGATGCTTCTGTCTTTCCCTTCTGCTTCAGAACTGCTCCAATCATTCTCTCTGCCAACGTCTCTCAAACGTTCCTACTTCTCTTGCTGCTTGACTCCCATTCAGTCCTGGTACAGTGGTCAAAGGGTCTTTGTTCTTCATTCTTCATCTCTGACCCCATGTGCAGTGATAATGGGATCGGCTGAGTAAAATAAGGATTTACTTTCTGGTTTTATCCTTCCCTTGTTTTTAGAATTTAATCAATATTTCTTCTTAAAATGCATCTGATGTTCAAGGAACAGAGGACACATAGTCTCAGAAAAAGATTTCTTGTGTCAAGAGAGTAAACTCCTGAACTAACGAGATTCTAAGCATTTTTTTTTTTAACAAGGAATCTATTATTACAGTGATGAGAAGCGAGAACCTTAAACATAATGGTCTCTCAATATATCTTCCTCTAACACATGAGAGTTTTATAAGGCTTCAGATGTGAATCAGTAGGATGAGCAGTTGAGTTTCCTCAATGAAACAAGGGAGGCACTTTTAAGGAAGTTCTCACACAAGCCAACATCCACAGTCCTTTAGAGGAAGGTAGTTTGGCATATTCACACTGTAATAAATAATCAGAGAAGCAGAAAAGCCCCATCCCTGACTGATGATCTCATTACATGGAAGACCCATTTACTAAGAGGACTAATGATTCCATGGTTTCCCCTCTTGTATAGAATAGCTACATTTAGCCATAACTTGCCTCTAGAGTCGAATTTGTCCATGGCAATTAACCATTTATAATGATTTCAAAAGTACAAGGAACCACTCATATGTAACACAAATCCAAGACTTTCAAGAGACAGTAAAATTTTTCCACACATAATTAGGTGAACTGGTGTGATATAGAAGTAAATATTGTACATTGGTATGGATTTTTGTTTATTGATACAAATTTAAGGTCAGTATTATAGATAGTCATCTTAATAGTCAAAACTTATAGTCATGTTAGTTTTTCTAGGTATACAGAAACATATTTCAGATGGATAGATATTCTTCAAACCTTTCAAAGACCTACAGAATATGGCATTTAAAATGGTTTATTAACTTAGGGCTTTTCATGACAATGAGAAACATTTGTTCCTGGCAACACTAATTATGTCAGAGAGGATGATGGGCATTGTGGTGCTTGCTTTCAATTTGACAAGGATACCCATTTGGACAAGAAACTGCTCTTGCCTGGACTGCTTGACAGCACACTGTCCAAACTGGACAAGCAGGTTACAAAGAAAAGTGACTGCTGACTTGCCAAGGTACAGGATGGTCCTTCAAGGTTCCTGCTTCATTAAAAAGTCTGCCAGACAGTCTGGGACTATAGGCTAAAGAGGGATGTCCCAACATTACAGAGGAACTTTGGGTGACTGTCCATGCAGTGAGATGCCTCTGTCAATTCTAGAGTTTGTATATTATCCTTCTGGGGTCTTTGATGGAGTTGAAGACAAATAGTTATGGTCATGATTTTCCTTAGCTATGGTAAAAGATTAGTTACATATAAAACTTTAGAGTCACAAAGATAGGATAGATGATAGAATATTTTTTTAAAAAATTTTACCAAATGTTAATGTATTAAATATTGTAACTATAATTCTTCCTTGATATCTGTTTTGTTATATATAATTTTACTATGTTAAAGTTAAAGCCTTCCTTTTTTATTTTGACAGAAAAGGGGAGATGATGGGGGATGTCCTTCTGTATGCTGTAAGTATTTGTTGCTCTTATTGGTTGATGAATGAAGCTGTTAGTTTTCAGGAAGGTAGGGCGACCAGACATTCTCGGTAAGACAAGGCCATGTGGAAGATATACAGATTAGTAATAATGGGTTAATAATTAAGAGAGTGCTAGCCAATATAAAGCCTAAGTCATTGGCTAAGAACTGTAACTGATATTAAGTCTCAGAGTGTGACACTGAGTGGAGAAAAACTGGTCCAGTGGTACCGAAATAGATGGAAAAAACCTTGTTTCTACACTGGTAGGCAACACATGAAGCTCAGCTCATTTTTTCTTTTCCTTATAATGAACCCTTCCAGTTCACCAAGTGATTCAGATGTTTCTTTTATCTTTTAAAAATAACTGACATTAGAGAAATGGTTAAGTATCAGCATCTCCTGTAGTACTTGTTGTTGTTGTAGATGGCCCGGGATCAGCTCCCAGCATGCAGATGGCAGCTCACAACCTCCTATAGAGGGATTTGATGCTGTCTTATGGCCTCTGCCAGCATCAGGCACACATGTGATTAACATACACATATGTAAGCAAAATATTCATACATGTATGTTATGAGCACTTTCCCATCAGCCTGGTCCCACAGCTTTGTCAGCCCCAAATAACACACAGAGATGCTGTATAAATTATGAAACTGTTGGCCATTGGCTATGGTTTTTTTATTGGCTATCTCTGACTTAACTATTAACACATTTTTCTATTAATCTAAGTATTTCCACATGGTCTTGGCTTACCAGGAATGCCAGATCTGCATCTCCTTTGCCTGCTACATCTCTGCAGAGAAGAGAGCGATTTCCTGTTTGTCCCTGCTTATATTCTGATTCTGCCCAGCTATGTCACTTCCTGCCTGTCTGTACAGACCTCCCCACCTCTATGGTTAGCTAGTGGCAGTATCTGCCATGCTACATCACTTCCTGCCTGGCCAATCAGTGTTTTATTCATCAACCAATAAGAAAACATGTATACAGAATGACATCTCCCATTGCATGTAGGATAAGAATAACCAATATTAAAATAAATTTATCCTATACACACTCCTCCCTTAAAAAGTAGCTCTCCTTAAAGTGAACAAGGACCAGTATATAATTTCTGCTTTTCTAAGGAGCAGTTTATAGAACTACAAATGCAATTTGAAAATTCTACCAAGTAATGGACATGAGAAGCACCATAAATATTGTTGACAAGCTGATTTAAGTTTAGTAATACTATTAAAAGCAGGTAAACAACTACTTTGAGATTAGGAAGTATCCAAACACACCTCTAATATTTATAAGGGCTGAGGTAAGACTGCAGGCAGAGGCTTAGATTCTATTATATATAAATTTTAAGTCAAGCTATTAAATAAAATACGATCTTATAGTCGGATATTTACAAATACGCCTTCAACTAAAGCAGGTCTTTAGATTCTTTGATGTTCCATACCATAGTGAAGTAGCACACAGGACAAGTCTACCCCCACTCTTCCCATCCCCAGTTCTTCAACATCTCCGCTCGCTCCCTTCTTCCCATCTCGTCTATTTTCTCCTCTCCCTCCTCCTCACCCACTTCTCTAGTAGATCTTGTTATGTCACCCATGCTGGGCTTGATCACAATATCTTCCATCTTCCAGGCTTTGCCTGGAATACCACTACCTGCCCCGATCCTGGGGTTACAAGGTTCACAGCACTTAGTGTAGGATCTTTCAGTTCACAAATGCTAGAGCAGAGCTCCTCTCACCCAGGACACTGGATAATTTTTTTGTTTTGTTTTGATTTTTTTCAAAACAGAGTTTCTCTATGTAGCCCTTGCTGTCCTGGAACTTGTTTTTTGGGCCAGGTTGGCCTTGAACTCAGAGATCTGCCTACCTCTGCCTCAGAGTGCTGGGATTAAAGGTATGTGCCACCACACTTGGCTTGGATAATTTATCCAATAAAGAAACGGCCAGATCACACTTGCTACCAGTCAATATACTAGACAAAAGTCAGTAAGTAAGACAATAAAGTTAAAACCTAAACTTCCAACCCCTAAGCACTTCAGGTCTCTTAAGAGCTATAACCAACAGATCTAACATTTATCTGGATCCATACCTAAAATTTTGATGTGTACTTTCTTAACAAACCCATTCAAGTTTATAGCATTTTATTCAAGTTGCAAGCAAGTAAAAACAAGAAGCCCAGAGAACATAGAGTATCAAAACAGAAGACTAGATATGCAGATGGAAGAGAAAGCATCCCCCTGTGTGTCTGTTGCTAACACTCAGATGACACAGCTGGTCAAGTTCAGTATCACAGTAAAACAAGTTCGGGATCTCTGCTCCCTCTCACTGATGCAGATAACACAGCTACGGTGTGTGCCTGCTAATGTCCAAAGCCTAGCAACCAGCAAAGCAGCAGGGCATGCTGAGCCACAGCACATAAGAGCCTCTCCCTACACAGAGCCTCCCCCTCAACATTACTCACTGTGCTCTAAGCACTTGCTTAGCCAGAAAATGACTGTGTACTTGAAAGAAACTATTAGATAACTTATCACAGTTCTTAACTCCACAAGAGGGCAAGTATTTCAACTGGAAATCTTACTTATTTGTACTTACTGAGATTGTACCATTGTCTAGACCTATGGACAGTCTTCTTGTTTCCGGGTTAAAAGACATGCATGAACATGGAGCTGAAAGAAATGAACATGTTGATGAAATTAACAAAACAATGATTCTCATTGATTCAGGGGTGTCTACTAAGCTAAGTGAGTGGCTAGGTCTCCCCACTGTCTCCTGAAACAGTTCACTTTAACCATGCTCGCAACGAAGTAAAAACAGCAATTTTGAAACTAAACACCTAGTTTTTAAGTTGCCCTTTAATGAATATACAAGTGAGACATTCTCAAAAATGTCAAGCAAGCCTTAAAGGCTATACTCTTGGCTTGTGCTAGCCATGCTAGATCTAAACTTGCTTGTCTAGAAGACTGGTCTACTTGGTTCTATGTAAACCATTGACCAGTACTCTCTGAATCCCACTCAAATCCCAGTTTAAACAGGAGTAGGCAATGTTTTCTGAGCTGGAGAGAAAACAGAAAGGTTTTACCCTCCATTGCTAGACATGCAAAGACACACACTAGTGCAGAAAAGTGTACTGGTTCAGAATTTATGTGGGAAAAATGAACTACCCGGGTATTTTACTCTGCATGTTCAAGAGGTATACTGGAAGTTGCTAGTTGAAAATGTCTGTGGGGTCATTTTCTTTGTATGAAGTTAAAAGAGATTCCAGTTTAAATGCAAATAAAACATATAAGTCTATGGTGGTAAGAATAGTGTGGCTTTATTTGTAAGTGAATTGTGGTTTAGTTAGCAAAGGTGCAGCATGCTGAAGTAGGGAGAAGCCTGATGTCTTTGCAAGAGCAGAATTCAATCACAGACATGCACACAGCAAGAACAGGGTGTGAGGGTGCACCAGAACTAAGGGTGAGACCAGGAAGATGCCAGAAGCCAAAGAGTAGCAAAGCTCAGGCTCCTTCACAGCCCTCAGAAGGAGCCAAAGTTGTGCAGGACCCCCGAGATCTCAGCCTCCAGAACTGGGAGTACTTTCTGTCTCTCACTCTCTGCATGCTGTCCATTTGTGGCTCTCTATATTAACTGCCATCTACTGCAAGAAGAAGCTTCTCTAGGGGAAGCTGAGAGATGCATGCACCTATGGCTGTGACAATATGTTGTCATGCGTCATTTTATTGCCGTGTTCCTTTAGCAATGATAGTATTTTTCCCATTCATCATTTCATTTTATTAGAGTGAGTGTGTGTATGTCTGTGTGTTACATGAGCGTGCAGGTGGGGGTGCCTGTGTACATACATCCAGAGGTCATTTGACATATCCAACTAAAATGTCTGGCTGTCATCCTCTACTTGTCTTTGCACTATTGCCTTGACAAGGGTCTCTCACTGAACTGGAAGCCTGCAACTGAACAGCCATTTTGGGAGTTTCTTTACTGCACCCCTTGTATACAGTACTAAGAACTTGTCAAACCACCTTACAGGATGAGAGTCAAAAAAAAAAAAAAATTATCAGACCACACTTTCACCAGACTGCTTGGAGTGTATGCACATCCTTGGAGCCTCTAGTTAAATTTTGATCTTACATCAGGACCCTAAAGGTCGAGTCCAAGGCTTTACTGGATCTCTTTGTCTCCATCCCCTATCAGTGTAATCACATATATCTCCTTTTTTCTGCTTCCCACTTTTGACTCCTTTAATTGGCTTGTTAAGAAAGGGAGGCCAGACATATGTTGGTTCAGATTTTGACATCCAAATTCACTCCTAGAATGCAGGTTGGGGCATAATAAAATAACAGTCCCCTCAGCCATTTAGAGACAGAGAGAATCTTAAGTCAATAATGACTACCTTTACCCTTTACCTTTTGATCCTTTGTATGAATCATCCTTTCTCTTGCCTTAAATGAAATAAAGATAAACTTTCTTCCCTTTTCTTTTCTGAACTGAATGTACCTAATTTCATATAATTGTGTCATGTCTATTATAGTTGTTCTTGTATGATTTTGGTTTTCATGTTATTTGTGTCACAAAGATTTTTTAACAAACTATGGCCACTTCAGTTCCTCTTTTTTAAAGAATTCATGTTTGTTGTATGCTAAAATTACTATTCTTAGTTTTGGGTGTGACCAATTAAAATGTGTATACAGATTTAAATTTCAATATTGTGATCATATATGAAGGCCTAATAAATACATATTCCTTTATAAATCTGGGTACCCTAAACATCTTAAATCCTATTATGTAATAGCTTTAGGTATATTCAATGTTTTATAAACTGTAAAATGCTAATTGTTTACATAAAATATTTGTTAGAGTTATAAGACTTCAATAAGCAATAGATTTGAATGTTATATCCATAAATTTAGATAAGGATTCACTTCCGAAACAGTTTCTAAATATATAGTTACATACATTTTTATCCTCTTATATAATAGGTGACATAAAATTTGATTTCTCCAAAATATTCTTAATATATATAAAATGTTTAATGTAAGACTTTTCTACCCCCCAGCTCCTTTCAGATTCTCTCTAATCTATGAAAACTGAAGTTCCAAATTAGAGTCTCTTTTAAAAGGATTAAAAAACAAAACAAAACAAAAAAACCAAAAAGCCCATGATTTCATAACCTAAGAGAAAAGAACATCATCTCAAAGACTCCTTTCTGATTTAAGTTCATGACTGTCTGGCACTTCCCACTCCTGGGATGCTAAAGGTCACGCCTGTCTGGGCACTCCTAACTCACTCCTGGGAGACAGGCACTTTTTCACATCATCTGAGAACACATTCATGTGGACTTGGAGTATTCATCTTCATTGTCACTGAGAAATGGAGAACCCTGAGAAACTAAACATTTATTTGCCTAGGCTTCTTAAATATTTTGTGATTAGATTTTTAAAATTACTTACGATATTTAGTATTCTATCTGGTATATTTCAAATGAGAAAATAATACTAATCTTTATTTTAATGAAGTTACAAATCAAGATATTATGTCCTTTCACTTCGTCTCACCTTTTTGATTTGACTATTTGCTTACCCTAAGCCCCACATTATTCAAGACTAATGTTTAAGCCAGGTGCTGGTGACACACACCTTCATTGCCAGCACTCTATAAAGGAACAGGCAGTCGGATCTCTGTGAGTCTGAGACCAGCCTGGTCTTAAGTTCCAGGACAGCCAAGGCTACACAAAGAAACTCTGTCGCAATAAACAAAAACAAACAAACAAACAAACAAAAAAAAGGTAATGTTTGAAAGAGTCAAGACTTTTCAGTCTTTATACACACACACACACACACACACTCACACACACACACACATATATTCTTATTATCCAGTGTATTTTGGCTAAAGCCAAAAAAAAAAAAAAAATTAGTTTCTAATTTAAACTTTAATTCCATTTATTCTAAGTAGAAATACCCAAAGATTTGAGTTTACTCTTCTTATGTAAATTACACAAAGGACATTACTCTCTACTACCAACAATATCCATGATGGTTTACACTTTAAACACTGGTGCTTCTTGACTTAATTAGTATCTAAAACGTCCTATAACTAGCTAGTAATTAAAAATTAAACAATAGTTATCCTTTACAAATTTAAAAGTGTGTGGGGGCAGATGGACAACAGTGACTCCTTATCTTGAGCTAGTTCTAGCCCCTGGAACATCTATTCCTTGTCCTTCTCTGTGTAGGAACCAACATCCTATGACTAATAGATAAAAATCATTAACTTAGCCCCCCACTAGCTTCTTCTATCAACCCAAAAGCTTCAGATTGCATCTGGGGCCTAGGGTAAAGCTCCCCCATCTCACTGTAGTGCCCTCTCTGTTGTACCCATCAATGTATTTGAAACTTGGCTTGATGCGTGACTTTGTTAAACTTCATGAAACTGCTCTTAAAATAGAATATGGAATTTGAGATAACCTAAATCTATGTTCCTAGGCCACGGCCACTCAGATGGCTCCACAATAAACTGTCTCTTATTCCCTTAAAAATATATATCCACAGAGAATTTCACGATGATGTACACATAAGCCACGACACAGTGAATGAAGGCATTTATGTAGAAGGGTTACAAGTGTACAACTCAGACCTTAGGTGAAGGCTCTTGCTGCACGCCACAATCGGGCTCTCTCTCAACTAGACCTTGATTAGATGTGGGAAAACAGATGGTTCAAAATCAGTGCTTCAGTAAGGGCTCAAGTTCCTACATTTGTTAGCTGAGCAGATGGTTCGGTGGCTGTACATGTATAACCTGACCACAACCTCACAGCCAAGAGCCAATGCAAGATCTGGACAGGTGGCAAAACAAGCTATTTCAGTGATTTGTAGGATGTGACTCTTTATATTAGTGTAATTATTTTGTGTGTGTGGGGGGGGTTCCTGTGTTGTTTTGGGGGCAAATTCATAAATACTCAGGAGCTAAGGTAAATTCCACCTGCCAGGCCTGAAAAGAAACCCCACAGTGGCCTCCAGCCATCCAACAGCCCTGCCTGAGGATTCACCCCTCCACCTTCGTCACTGTATCTCTGGCAGCCAAGGGAGTTTACCTGTCCTCTATTCCCAAAGGAGAAGTTGGCACCAAGGGCCCATCTGTGATACCCAATCCTCTCACACAACCATCTCTACCACCTGCCACCCCAGCTGACACTTCAGATTCCGCCCTGCCTCTCTTTTGTCTTAAACCAATGAGTGACAAAGCTAGTTAGTAAAGTAAATCTGAAATACATCAACCATGGATATCCGTGACTTTCCTGTGCTATTTTGCCTGTATTATAACGAGAATACAGTGGTTGAAATCATATCCATTAGAGGCTTAGAATATGGATGGCTGCAATGAAATCTCAATCATGGGCCCCGAGGAAGGTCCCTCTACAGTTAACAAACCTGGGAAGCAGCCTGTAAGCTGACACTGCCACAGCAATTAGCAGCAATAGCATGGAGCCATCAGGGGAGGAGTGGGAGAATATTTTCTCCAATTTTTCATTTTGCCCACGTATCAGCTTGTTTACAGGAAAGTGGTTTATGGCAACAATCACCCTTAATTCCCTACAGAGGCACTAGGGGTATAGTTCAGTAATAGAGTGTTTTTAGTATGCAGGCACATAGTCCTGGGTCCGATTCCAAGC